ATAATAAAGATACAATTCTCAAAAGTTATAAGTATCATCTTCCCATGTAGGAATGCAAACAGTTTACCCTTATTGAATAACATGCCACCCCCTTCCCTATTTACCTTTTTATGTCTCTCAAGTCTTGTTTTTGAAAATCAAATTTCCCATTGATCTCTGGTCTTTCCATCAGTAAATTCTGAAAGTCCCTTAATTCATTGAATATCCACTCCTCCCCTCAAAGATTATGCTCAGTTTTGTTAGGTAGTTGATCCTTGGCTGTAATTCAAGCTCTTTTGCCTTGCTGAATATCACATTCCAAGCCTCCTGATCTTTTAATGTAGAAGCTGCAAGGTCCTCAATAACTCTATGATTCCACAATATTTGCATTGTTTCTTTCTGGCTGCTTGCAGTATTTTCTCCTTGACTTGATAATTCTGGAATTTGGCTACACTATTCCTTGGTGTTTTCCATTTAGGATCTCTTTCAGGAGGCAATTGGTGGATTCTTTTGATGACTATTTTACCCTCTGGTTCTAGGACCTCAGGACAGTTTTCCATGATGATTTATTGAAAGATGCTGTTCAGGACCTTTTTTTTTTTTAAATCATGGTTTTAAGGTAGATTAAAAATTCTAAAGTTATCTCTCCTGGATATATTTTCCAGGTTACTTGTTTTTCCATTGAGATATTTTACATTTTCTTCTATTTTTCATTCTTTTGATTTTGTTTTATTGATTATTGATGTTTCATAGAGTTATTAGCTTCCAATTGACCAATTTTAATTTTTAATAAATTATTCTCTTCAGTTAGCTTTTGTATCTCCTTTTCCATTTGGCCCATGTTACTTTTTAGGAAGTTGCTTTCTTCAGTGTACTTTTTTCCCCCACTGTGTCAATTGTATTTTTAAAGTAATTATTTGATTTTTAACTCCTCCTCCCTTATTTGACTTTAAAAGTCCTTCTTGAGATCTTCCAAGAAGGCTTTCTGGGCTTGAGACCACTTCATATTCCCCACTGAGTTTTCAGATGTGGGTATATTGATAATGTTATCCTCCTCTGATTTTGTGTTTTGATCTTCCCTGTTACCAAGATACTTTTCTATGGTCATTGTTTTTCTATGTTGCTTCTTTCTCATGTTGTCTGCATTTTTCCTGGCTTTTAAAGTTGATTTCTGCTTCTGCGTTACAAAGTCCACTGTCTTGGCCTTCTTATGCTTGGGACTAGGAGCCTGGTTACTGGTTTGCTGAGATAAGGCTTGCCACTGGCTTGCTGCAATGCCTCCTTTTTTGTACTGGTGCCCTTCAGCCCAGCAAGAGGGAACTATGCCCAAAAGGCTACAAAAATGTGTATACCCTTTGACTCAGTAATAGCACTTTTAGGCTTGTATACCAGAGACATCATAGAGATGAGAAAAGGACCCATATGTACAACAATATTTATAGCAACTCTTTTTGTGGTGGCCAAGAATTGGAAATTGAGAGGATGCCCATCAATTGGGGAATGGCTGAGCAAGTTCTGGTATATGAATGTAATGGAATACTATTGTGCTATAAGAAATGATGAACAGGCTGACTTCAGAAAAACCTGGAAAGACTTGTATGATCTGATGCTGAGTGAAGTGAGCAGAACCAGGAGAATGTTGTACACAATAACAGCCATGTTGTGTGATAACTAACACTGATAAACTTAACCCTTCCCAGCAATACAAGGATCTAAGACATCTCCAAAGGCCTCATGATGGAAAATGCTATCCACAAAGAACTATGGGATTTGAATGCAGATCAAAGCATACTATTTTTTTTCTTCTGTTGTGTTTTGTTTTATCTTTCTGGTGGTTCCTTCTATTGGTTCTAATTCTTACTTACAACATCACTAATGTGAAAATATGTTTAATAGGAATGTATATGTATAGCCTATATCAGATTATGCGCCATCTTGGGGAGGGAGGTGGGAAGGGAGGGGGAGAAATATTTAGAAATCAAAAGCTTATGGAAGCGATTGTTGATAATTCAAGATAAATCAATTTAAAAAAAGATGAATGAGGCCAACCCCCCCCAAAAAAAACACCAAAAAAAGAAAAACCTAGGAAGACATGAAAGGGGCTGGCATTTTCCATTGTGTTCCTATTCCCAATTTGCTACACTAGAGACTTTGGGGAGTTTCCCCTTGGGTGAAATCCAATACTCCCTCTTTCTCTCTTAGATGAGCTGAAGAGTAATGTGTGATGTGATAGAGAGTGAGAAGGATTAAGCTTCAAAACAGAGGAGACAAATTATATTTATCCATTAGATTGCTACAGGTATCTTGGAATGAAGAAATTGAACTGAAAGTTCCTTGTTGTGATTGCCTTTGCAAGGACTGAGAGAAGTTCTAAAAGGTCTTCCCATGTCAGTTTGGAAATATGCTCTTCTATTTTTATTTAAACTATTTCCTGTATTCTGATTTTGCTTCATATAAAGAAACCCAGGTTTTGATCAGGAAGAGTCATATTGTTTACTTAGTTTCTAGCAATAAAAAGATGAATGGAGGAAGTTAGGAGTTACATAGAAATATATACATTTTAAATTATGGCAGGTAGTCAAACCTCTGTCCAAATATTAGAATTTTCCAAACTAGGGGCTCTGAGTTATTATAATTTTATTAATAATATTTTAATCTGCTAAAAACTTCATAAAATAGCAGAGAAATTGTGTGGACCTGAGGAATATTATATTTCCCTCTGGCTAAATGTAACTAATTGAAACAAGGAGGACATATTGAATCTCTATTCTTTTATTTGATAAAAGAGAGGGGCAGGGAGTAGAGGGTGCTGACCGAAGTGGTTACACACTAAAGTATTTCTTAGGGAGAAGATAGAAGAGTACTATGATGATTCAGCCCCAGATTAAGAATTTTCATACATACATAACTATATATAGTATGTATGTATATATGTATATATTTTTAGATTTGTCCTGAATGTATTTTAGAATAACAAAAATCAAACAGACCAAAAGTCTGTGACATTAATTCTCTGTCATAACTATAGAGCTTACACATACAGTTCATAATTCACTAATTTTGTGTTTAATACAATATTCACAATGTAAAAATATTTGGTCAAAAATTAGTTTATCTTGTGTCAATATGTGTCAAGCCAATTTAGATTGAAAAATGGACAATCAAACTTGTTGTGCCAGTTAAGATGACCCCAAACAACTAATTCACCAAAAAAAAATATTACTTTAGTGGTTACATACAGACACATTTTAAAAATTTCTTGCACTATTTTATATGAGAGACTCACAGCGTATATTAGAGCGTCAGAGGATTTCAGAGTTGAAGGAGATCTCAGGACCTTTAAAGCCCCACCTTTTCCTGTAAAAGAACCTTTTATATAATATACCAAACGGTCATCCAACCTGTATTTGAAAATCACCAGTGAGAGGTAACCCTCTACCTTCTGAGGAAGGTCATTGAATGGTTGGACAGCCATAATGTTGTGGTGGTCTTTTATTTCCATATGACAAACAAAATCTGCCTTTCAGTTTCTTCCATCAATTGTTCTTAGAGGGTAAAAACTCTAGGGAAAAACAACAAAAAAAGTCTAGTCTCTTAAACATTTGAGTGGCAACTATAACATTTCACACCCCCCCCTTCTCCCAAGTCCTCTTTTGTCTAAGCCCTTTTCTTTTCTCTGTTTCCTTTAAGTGATTGTATTGTATGATCTCAAAGTGTTTCATTGGTCTGATTGCCTTTCTCTGGATGTTCTCCAATGGATAAATGTCCTTCCTAAAATGTGCTATCTCTAATTGAATGCCTTACTCCAAATATAATCTTGTCATTCAGAGAACTGATAGCCTACTGCCCACCTCTTCATAAATCTATATGTCTCATTGCCATCCAAAATTACATTAACTTTTTTGAGCTGCCATATTCTTTAGTGACTCATATTGAACTTACTGATCATTGAAACCCCCAAATGTCTCAACTATTCCTTATAAGTTAAGTTATTAATTTTTGGCAAGCTGCATTCAAGTTTTCATACCGCTTGAATGCTAGATAACATAATGAAACATATAAAACGATAAACTTAAATGCTAATTTGCTATATTATAGCCAAATGACTCACAAGAATGAATAGCTTCTCAAACTACCTAACTTCTTCTTTAGGTATATTTTGTGTATTCATGATTCAGGCACCTGATTTCCTTGTTGCCCGCTCCTTATGATTTAGCAAATTATTCCTTTACCCATGCTGAAATGCATTAGCTCCAATTAAAAGAATCACTTCTATAAACTCCCCTTTTCTTAAAAGGGAAGCTATTATGAATGATTGTTTAGGGATGTAGACACAAAAACTGTCCTATTGGCAGTTTCATTATTATTCTGTCTCTAAAAATTCATATTAATTTCCTAATTTTACAGATGGATAAGCTGAGACACAAAAAGGCTAAGTCACTTTTCCAAGGTTAAACAGTGAGCCACTGGCAAAGCTGGAAATCACTACTCTGGGTGTTTCAGACTCTTGCTTTGCATGCTGAATCACTGCATTTCTGTCTTCTGTGAGGACTGTTTGACATTAATTAAAGAGCTTGACAATAAACACTCATTTACTCATTTTTGCTTTTTATAATGAACAGTGTTTTTGAGTTGGATGCAAAAAAAAAAAAAAAACTCTTTACTTTGGCATGCAAATCTTACTCCAAACCAGCTGAACTGGATGTTTGTCAAACTTGGCATGGACTGCAGTCTCAGACAGAGAGTACACTCCTGCCAAGATTTAGCCTCAAATGAAGTGTCCTGCCAAAGTTATAAGTGACTGACAATTGGAGTTTTACTTTAATCTGCCATATAAACACACTTAACCAATATCCACTGAAAAACACAAACACATCACCACCACCACCAACAGCAACAAGAAGAACAACAACAACAGCATCTGCAAACTTTATTAAAATACGTTGATTTGTCTTATAACTTTGATGAAGCATTCACTTCCCAAAGAATCCGATCTTGAGTTCAATCCCTCAGAGCTGCATTAGTTATTCCATTTGTATTTTATGCCTTTCATTTTGCTCTCCTTTCTCAAATACAATTTTATTTTTCCTATTTATGTTTTGATTTGTATTCCATTTCCATGTTGAGGCTCACTTTCTCTAATATCATATGTGCATTTCATCTTTCAGCAATATGCCCAGAAAATAGCATGATATTTCCTCTTAGCGAGTTATTCCATTTCTTGATGGTTCAGAGGGAATAACTTTGTTGTTCACTAAAGAATTATCCAGCAACAGTAATGCTTTGGAACTCCTGTCTTCTTCCTCACTCTTTTTCCCAACTCCCTCTAAGGACCTAGAGCAGATGAGAAAAAAGGTAAAGAATCAGGGATAAAATAGCATGAGTTTAACTGTTAATGAAAATGAAAGAAATATTATGTTGAAACCATTTGGAGATGTGTTGACTTATTCTTAAACAAGACAGAAAAAAAGAAGCAGAGTACCTGCTTTTTAAAATTTTTTTGGTCACCTTATTTATTTAACTTATATGCAGACTACATCAGACAAAGTGCCAGGCTGGATGAATCAAAAACCAAAATTAAAGTTGCTGGAAGAAATATCAACAATCTCAAATACGCAGATGATAACACTGTGATGGCATAAAGTGAAGAGGAATTAAAAAGCCTCTTGAGGGTGAAAGAGAAGAGCATAAAAGCTGGCTTGAAGCCTAACATCAGAAAAACTAAGATCTTGGCAACTGGTCCCACCACTTTTTTTTTTTAATATGCTTCTCTTGAGTCTTGTATTTGAAAGTCAAATTTTCTTTTCAGTCCAAGGAGCTTTCTTATAGCTACTTCCCTACTCTCTCTCCATTTTCCTTTCCCAGTCCTAATAATTTAATTTTTATTTTGCTCCTGAAATCAAAAAGAGGGTTTGGCAAAAGAAGCCATCACTGGAGCATGTGAGTCTCTCCACTGGGCTTTTTAGATGTCCTTCACCAGTAAGACAGTTAACAAGGCCAAGATCATCAAAGCTTGGTCCTAAGACTGTGGAATTTAAATGTGTAGACAGCCTTTCTAATTCTTAAGCAGCATAGAAACAACTAATATTATCACCTAATTAGATAGAATAAAAGAAATTGCCAGATTAATCTATTCCTCTTCTGGAAGCTACAGCTGGGGTGATTTTCTCCTCATTCTGGTTCCACACTCATCCCCATTTCCCTATTCAACACAGTTCAGTAGCTTTGAAGTGCCTAGTGGTCTCTTGTAACACCTATTCAAATGATTTGAGGCCCAAGGTGCTGATTGCCCTGGATACAAAATTTTCTACTAAGTTTCAGTTCATAAACTTTCCTAACCCTCAACCCGAAGAAGTGTTATGTTATCACAGGATCAAAGAACTATGGATCTAAAGCTAGAAGAGACATCAGAAGCACTGTAATCTAACTTCTTTATTTTTGATCAGGAACCTGAGGTTCTGGCACATTAAGTGACATGCCCAACATTACAGTGGTAGTATGTATTGGGTGCAGTATTTGAACCCAATTCCTCTCACTCTGAATCCAAAATTCTTTACACTGTACTGCATGACTCAAATGTGGTCCAGACTGCAATGTATGTTTGTTTGTTTTTTCACATTTAAATCAAGTTGTCTACAACATTTGTTTTTATCTAAACACAAAATAAATGATCTGATGGATTTTTGAATTTTTACTTATTTCTTTTTTAGCTATTTCTTTAGATATTCTATAAATATAACTTTTATTTGACAAATGGCATCTTCTTTTACAAATATCTTCACTCAAAAATGAACTTTCTTCAATACTGAGAGAATAAAAGAATTATTGAACATAATTTCACTCTTAATAGATTTTCTTTTTTTTTTTAATCTCTTTGGAGTTTCAACAGGCCTTCTTTCCTCTCTTGATTGGTTACAGAAATTGCTTTTTATGCTAGTAATGTCACTATACTGTATAATAATAATATTTAAAAAGCACTTTTATTACACAAATCTTTTTTTTGATTCTTTTTTGACATCAGTAAATGAGATGCTTAATGAGGAGAATGAGGAAGAGGCAAAGATGGCACAAGAAAGATAAACATGTATTTATGAAATGTGAAGCCAGCAAACAAAATTATTCTGGATGTAATTTGGGGAAGTAGTATATTTCTTCCAGAATTAAATATAATGTAGCATCCAAACAACACTTAAACTTTTTAGTTAATACTGTTGCAAATGAGATGTTTTCTAATGTGGTTAAACTGGATGTAGGAGAAGAACCAGACACTCAGTTAGGGGCTAAGAACAGAGGCACTAGTCCTGTCATCTTTTATTTCTTGTGGCAACAGAAAGCTAGAGCAGTGGGGGAGAAGTTTAAGGAGCAAGTGAACTTGTCTGTTCTGGAAATTTCAAGGTACATATTTAGAAATCCAAGATCACATATTCAGGGGTGATTGATTATAAGTACTGGTTAAAAAGTCATTTGAGTTTCTTTGGGCCTTTCCCTTTATTGACATTACTAAACACATCCTGCTAGTATTAGTTGACTCATAATCCTAAGAACTTTTGCTTCTTCATGAAATTTCCATTGTCTCTTTCAATACAATGAGAAGGGTTTTCAAATGATCTTATCATAAATACACACACATATACATACATACATATTTATCTATGCATATAGAGAGAGATATGTATATGTGTGTATATATGTAATTTTTAATGGAATTCCTTCTGATAAAGACTGACTTGCTTTTTTCTGAATTTAATTGGGTCAATAGTGCCAGACTACTAAAACGTGGAAAGAATGAAGAGTAAAAATATATTTCAGGATATGTGTAAGAAATATTATAAAGAATGGTATTTTCTTATCCCACAAAGGAATATAAAGCAACCTTCAATCTTTATGACATGGCCTTCTTTAATATGAAGTTTATTTTGGGAAAAAATGCCAAAATGCCAATATTATCTACTCACTTTCCTTTAAAATACATGAATTAACCAATAAAATAGATGAATCTTTAGTTAATTTAACTTAAAACAAAGAAAGAAGAAAACCAGATTACCAGTACTAAAAATGAAAAGGGTGAATTCACCACCAATGAAGAGGAAATTAAAATAATAATTTGAAACTATTTTGCCCAATTGTATACCAATAAATTTGACAATCTTAGTTAAATGGATGAAAATTTACAAAAATATAAATTCCCCAGATAAACAGAAGAGGAAGTAAAATACGTAAATAACCCCATCTCAGAAAAAGAAATTGAGTAAACCATCAATGAAGTACTTAGGAAAAAATCTCCAGGGCCAGAGGGATTTACAAATGAATTCTATCAAACATTTAAAGAACAAGTAATTCCAATACTATATAGACTATTTGGGAAAATAGGTGAAGAAAGAGTCTTACCAATTTTTTTTTTATAATACAAATATGGTGCTGATACCTAAACTGGAAAGAGTCAAAACAGAGAAAGAAAATTATAGACCAATTTCCCCAATGAATATAGATGCAAAAAATTTAAATAAAACATTAGCAAATAGGTTACAGCAAAGTATCATGAGAACAATACACTACAAGCAGGTAGTATTTATACCAGGAATGCAGGGCTGGTTCAATATTAGGAAAACTATCAGCATAATTGATCATGTCAACAACAAAACTAACAGAAACCACATGATCATCTCAATAGATGCAGAAAAACTTCTGACAAAATATAACACCCATTCCTATTAAAAATACTAGCGTGCATAGGAATAAATGGAGTCTTCCTTAAAATGACAAGTAGCACTAACCTAAAACCTTCAGCAAGCATGATATGTAATGGGGATAAGCTAGAAGCATTTCCAATAAGATCAGGGGTGAAACAAGGATGTCCATTATCACCACTGTTCAATATTGTGCTTGAAATGTTAGCTTTAGCAATAAGAGAAGAAAAAGAAATTGAAGGTATTAGAAGAAGCAAAGAAGAAACAAAGCTATCACTCTTTGCAAGTGATATTATATACTTAGAGAATCACTAAAAAAAACTACTTGAAATAATAAATAACTCTAGCAAAGTTGCAGGATACAAAATAAACCTATGTAAATCATAAGCATTCCTATATATTGTCAAAAAAGCCCGATAGCAAGAGATAGAAAGAGAAATTCCACAGAAAGTTACTGTATATTTAGAAGTCTACCTGCAGAAACAAACCCAAGAACTATATGAATGCAATTACAAAACATTTTTGACACAAATAAAGTCAGATTTAAATAATTGGAAAAAAACATCAGTTGCTCGTTGGTAGACCAAGCCAATACAATAAAAATGACAATTCTACCTAAGTTAATTTACTTATTTGGTGCCATCAAACTTGCAAAAATATTTTTATAGAGCTATAAAAAATAAGATTCATTTGAAAGAACAAAAGAGTCAGAATGTCAAGAGAAGTAATGAAAAGAAATGCTAGGGAAGGTGGTCTTACCATTCCAGATCATAAATTGTATTTTAAAGCAGCAATGATCAAAACTACTTGGTACTGGCTAAGAAGTGAAATAGATTAGGTACACAAGACATAGTAGTCAATGACTATAATAATCTGCTGTTTGATAAACCAAAATGCCCCAGCTTCTGGGATAAGAATTCACTATTTGACAAAAAACTGTTGGGAAAACTGGAAAAAAGTGTGGCAGAAACTAGGCATAGACCAAAATCTTACAGCATATACCAAAATAAAGTCAAACTGGGTTCATGATTTAGAAATAAAAGCTTATACTATGAGCAAACTGGGAGAGCAAGGAATAATTTACCAGTCAGATTTATAGAAAACAGATAAATTTATGAGCAAAGAAGGATAGAGAAAACATTATGAAATGCAAGATGAATAATTGAGATTACATTTAATTGAAAATTTTTTGCACAAAGTCAATGCAACTAAGATTAGGAGGGAAGCAGAAAACTGGGAAAGAATTTTTTACAACCAGTGTCTCTGATAAGGGTCTCATTTCTAAAATATATAGAGAACTAAGTCAAATTTATAAGAATTTAAGTCGTTCCCCAATTGGGAAATGGTCAAAGGATATGAATAGGCAGTTTTCAAATGAAGAAATTAAAGCTATCTATAGTCATATGAAAAAATGCTCAAAATCACTATTGATTAGAGAAATGCAAATTGAAACAACTCTGAGGTGTCACATCACATCACACATAACAGATGGGCCAACAAAAAAAAAACAAACAGGAAAATGATAAATGTTGGAGAAGACATGGGAAAATTGGAACACTAATGCATTGTTGGTGGAGTTGTGAACTGATTCAATACTTTTGGAGATCAGTTTGGAACTATTCCCAAAGGGCTATAAAAATGCACATA